GCTTGGAAAGATGCAGATTTAAAATCAGCCATAAAATATTTAAGATCTGTTAAAAGAAAAAACCTCTTATACAACACAAAACAAGAAACAATACTCCCTAGTGTAATTCAAAGGGATAGTATTAAAATACAATTAACTCCGTACATCTTACAGTTAACTTATAAAATATAATTCTCTGATTTCAATTCGAAACATGTTTCCCACATTATCTTTTCTAAACAACATGTGCCATAAATTGCAGGTCAACCTGTTATAGACCTTATCCCAGTTTTTATAATGTATAATGAAAATACCATTTAATCATTTATTCAATTACTCAATTATCTGCCAATCATAAACTTTTAATCAATTTTTATATAATCAAATACGAAAAAAAAACCGAACTTTGAAATTTGTCAAATAAGCCAGATTGATTTTCGTCGATTACTCACCAATCTATGTTATCTTATCTTAAATGATTGCTGTCAATTATACATCATTAAGGTTCTAGTGATAATGAAAAAGATTTGAGTTCATTTCCACAGGTAAAAGTTTCGCTCAACATTTTCCCCGTCATATGATACTGATAACATATTGCACGATATTAGGTGAAATCAATGCACCGTTATCGAAATGTATTAGTGGTGTAATTTATATTAATATCACCAAAAAAAAATTTTTTTTTTATTCTTTTTTACAGTTATTCTAACTAAATTCATCTAGCTGAATTACACTCTTCACAATTTCATATTTGTTAAACTAGATAAAATATGAAAGTTTCGGTTTTCATTACCTTTGGGTTAAGAGGTTAATATTTTACAATATTAAGTGAAATTAATACATCGTAATAGAAACGTATCTGTGACGCTATCATTTGAAAAAATCATGATTATGATTCTTATACTTTTCTACGGAGTTCATCTAAATTTATCTAGAAGATTTAGAAAATGCTTTTTAAAAACATTGAAAAGCTTCGGTTAATATTACAATCGGCTTAAGGTGTTAACATTTTACAATAATAAGTGAAAATATTTTACAATACACATAATTTACAATTGCAATGACATAAATGTTAGGGTGTAAAATTTTACAATATTAAGTGAAATTAATACTTTATCATTGCTACGTAACTGTGACGCTTTTAATTGAAAAACTCTTCATTATTGTTTTAAACTTTTCCTCAAAGTTTATCAAAATTTATCAAGAAGATTCAGAAAACGCTATTTGATAACAAAAAAAAAAGGTTTGGTTAATATTATAATCGTTAAAGATGTTAATATTTTACAATATTAAGTGAAAACATTTGACAATATTTTTAAATGTTAAGGTGTTAACATTTTACAATATTATTTTATAGTATTAAGTGAAATTAATACATCGTTTTGGATACGTATCTGTGACGTTATTAGTAGAAAAAAAATCATGATTATGTTTTTATTCTTTTCTACTAAGTTTATCTAAATTTATCTAGAAGATTTACAAAATAATTGCTCTTTGATAACATCAAAAAGTTTCGGTTAACATTACAAGCTGCTTAAGGTGTTAATATTTTATAATATTAAGTGAAAATATTTTACAACATTTTTAATTTACATTTTACAATATTAAGTGAAATTAATACACCGTCGTAGAAACGCTTATGTGACGCTGTTTATTGAAAAAATCATAAATATGTTTTTTATACTTTTCTACAAAGTTTTTCTAAATTTATCTAGAAAATTTAGAAAATGCTCGTTGATAACATTTAAAAGTTTCGGTTAATATTACAATCTATTTAAGGTGTTAATATTTTATAATATTAAGTGAAAACATTTTACAATATTTTTAATTAACACTTTACAATATTAAGTGAAATTAATACACCTTTATAGAAACGTTTATGTGACGCTGTTTATTGAAAAAATCATAAATATGTTTTTTTATATTTTTCTGCAAAGTTTATCTAAATTTATCCAGAAAATTTAGAAAATGCTCGTTGATAACATTTAAAATAATTACTAATAATATTACAATCGATTTAAGGTATTAATAATTTGCAATATTAAGTGAAAACATTTTACAATATTAAGTGAAATTAATACTTCATCATCGCAACGTATCTATGATGCTAAAAATTATAATTATGTTCTTATACTTATCCACAAAGTTTATCTAAATTTATCTAGAAGATTTTGAAAATGCTTTTTGATAACATTAAAAAGCTACGGTTAATATTAAAATCAGTTTAAGATGTTCAAATTTTACTATATTACGTGAAAACATTTTGCAATATTATTTTTCAACATTAAATATAGTTAATTATTCATCGTAGCGTATCTGTGACGCTATTAATTGAAAACATCATAATTTTGTTTTTATACTTTTATTAAAAGTTTATCTAAGTTTATCTAGAAGATTTAGAAAATGCTCTTTGATAACATTGAAAAGATTTGATTAATATCACAATTGCTTAAGGTGTTAATATTTTACTATATTAAGTGAAAACATTTTACAATATTATTAAATGTTAAAGTGTTAACATTTTACAATATTATTAAACGCTGAAGTGTTAAATTTTACAATATTATTTTTCAGTATTAAATGAAATTAATATCGTTATAGAAACGTAGCTGTGACGCTATTAATTGAAAACATCATAATTTTGTTTTTATACTTTTATAAAAAGTTTATCTAAGTTTATCTAGAAGATTTAGAAAATGCTCTTTGATAACATTGAAAAGTTTTGATTAATATCACAATTGCTTAAGGTGTTAATATTTTACTATATTAAGTGAAAACATTTTACAATATTATTAAATGTTAAAGTGTTAACATTTTACAATATTATTAAACGCTAAGGTGTTAAATTTTACAATATTATTTTTCAGTATTAAATGAAATTAATATCGTTATAGAAACGTAGCTGTGACGCTATTAATTGAAAACATCATAATTTTGTTTTTATACTTTTATAAAAAGTTTATCTAAGTTTATCTAGAAGATTTAGAAAATGCTCTTTGATAACATTGAAAAGTTTTGATTAATATCACAATTGCTTAAGGTGTTAATATTTTACTATATTAAGTGAAAACATTTTACAATATTATTAAATGTTAAAGTGTTAACATTTTACAATATTATTAAACGCTAAGGTGTTAAATTTTACAATATTATTTTTCAGTATTAAATGAAATTAATATCGTTATAGAAACGTAGCTGTGACGCTATTAATTGAAAACATCATAATTTTGTTTTTATACTTTTATAAAAAGTTTATCTAAGTTTATCTAGAAGATTTAGAAAATGCTCTTTGATAACATTGAAAAGTTT